GTATAGGATATTGATGGGAAAGCCAGAATTAAAGAGACCACAGGGAAGACCAAGGCGTAGGTGGGTGGACAATATTTGAATGGATCTTAGAGAGAGAGGATGGTGTTGTTATGGATTGGACAGATCTGGCTCAGGATATGGACCAGTGGAGGGCTCTTGTGAACACGGTAATGAACCTTCGGGTGCCATAAAATGCTGGGAAATTCTTGAGTCGCTGCTGAATTGGCGGCTCCTCCAGAAGGGCTCAGCTCCATGAGTGAGTAATTGAGTGAGTAAGTAAGTAAGTAAGTCAGTAAGTAAATGAAGGTATACTGGCATGAGAGTTTAATGAGTACCCATGTAAAGAAGAAACTAGAATATCCTCAATCTGTAACAGTGGAACTCGTGCCAACATTATGTATGAAATTATGTTAATAACTTTTTATATTTGGGTTATGAATTAAAACAGATGAAACCTTTCTATATATATATAGCCTTTTCTGATTGCTGAGCACTCACCGAGATCTGGTTATAAACGCCTTGAGTCCAACCATACAGATCCATCAACCTGTAGGCCGATGCCAACTTACATCGCAGTATCTTTTCTCCTTTAGCGTAACCCATGCTTTCCACACCTCGAATGTCATTAATGGGAACAACACAATTTGAACCTGAAAAAAAAGTTACAAATAAATAAAAAACTGCTTCAATTTAAAATTCCATGAAGTAGAATCCTCCTTTACTCATGAATAGTAACAATACTGAGGGGGCACAGTAACACAGTTGACTCAGGCACTATGCTAAGAGCCAGAAGGTCGCAACTTTGATTCCCGATGAGGTCACTGGGTTTTCAATTAACCTTATCTTTCCAGCTGCCACTATGCACCTGGAGTTGACTCAGCCTCTAACAAAAATGAGTACCAGGAATCTTCCTGGGGGGAAAGGTCAGCCGGCGTGTAAGGCTCTACCTCACAACCGGCTGTCTAGAAAATGTGGGGGCCTCAACGTCTCACAACCCTATGAACCTCCATGGCCTATTACAGGGATAGCACTACCTTTATTTAGTAATAATATTGTGACATGACGCCTGAAATCAAGAACACTGGAACCAGAGTGGAAGTACATTGCTAGCCAACGGTTCGCCAAACACACATTCCCATGGCAATGAACACACATGGAATAATCCATTGCTAGGCAACGGTTCGGTAAGCATGTTTCGTGGCAACAGAAAAATAGAATAACATGAACTGTTCGAGGTGATCTATATTCAGGTCGCCTGGAAGTTGGTTCGGTTCAGGAGAGTTCAATCATTTGACATTCATAGGGGAGTTCAATGATTCAGTTACAACGGATTCTTCCGTTTGTCATTCATCACAGTGGAAGAGAAGACCCAGTAAGGATTTAAGCTAGTCTTATGCAGCCATTGACTGAGCTGTTATAATTGATTGTAACTGTAACAGAAGTGACCATAAATCCAATCATCCAATCCTGAACCCATTATATTCATCACTAAAACCCCTTATACTTGACAATATTATTGGCAGGCTATACAGTGCCGTATGATATGGTAACAATGAATAATAAATGGGGATGGACAGGGAAGGAGGTAGTCATTGCCTAATTTGAGCTAATACCCCAGCATTCAACACGAGGAGCCAAGGAAAATCATGAATACCTCTTCTGTCAGGAATGTCACTGTCAGCTAAGATTCAAACCAATCACCTTCCCACATACAAGTCAAAGTATTAACTATAACACAAACTCACTGAGTCAGAATCTTCTAAAGAAACTGACAGTTTCTTAGCAAATATAGAATTCCCTGCTTTTTATGGACTCCAAACATGTGGTCATGAGAGCCTGCCAGTGTTCCCTACTATTAGCCAGCTGAAAATTTCAAATTATAAATTTATGCAAATCATAACATAATTTACTAACCAGAATTTAAATAAATGAGCAAATCAAAACAGGTGGTCTAAGAAAAATAGCAAGAGTCAATTATTTTAAAGATAGTTGGCATAATTGGCAAAACAAATTGCCAATTGTACAGCTGACTTCATCAATAAAAAGGAACAACACAAAAGGCAAATATTAATTAAATGATCATTTCACGCAATTCCTATATTTCCCTTGTGTGCAAGGCCTGAGGCCAACAATGGGTCAATTTACCTAATGATTGGCATCTGTTATCAGCAATTTTAAGTTATATTACTGGCATGCATGCACATGAATGTGTATATGCAACTGACCACAAGTGGGAAAAAAAACTGTTTAATATCTTGCAACTATTTTTACTTTTGTTCCCTGTTAGTGTCTATGAGAACTACGTTTTTTGGGACTGTTTTACCAGGCACTGAAATGCACCATGAGGAGGAGGCTAATATGAAGCTGATAAATCATACTAAATCTTCAGAACTTCAAATTCATTACTCTCATAACATTTTCATCAGGCATCATACATAAACATATGCCACTGATAATTAGAGAACTTTTATGATGAATTAACAGTCAAGAATGACAGCAAAGGCAGAAAAACTAATATCCATGCTAATAACAAAAGCAAATTACTATTTCAGGCATGACAGGATATCCCTGTTAAGTCCCAAATGGCTGTCCTGGAATTCAACATTCTGTAAGCCAGCAGCCTCTGGCATGTTATCTTTCATAACAGTGCTAAATGTTGAATTGCTGTATACAACATAACCTCACAACAGATGGATAATGAAAAATGAGAAGCCATGAAAGCAAACTTCGCCCAGGACACTGTCTATCCTGACCAAGGATTTTATGATGTCCTTCAGTCCCTCCACGATAATGCAGGGGCAATACCTCTATCAGGCCACACCTTCTTCAAAATTCTTTCTAATTTACACTCGTCAATCACCGTACCATTCAACACTACAGTGTATATATACTTACAACATCATAAAATACCAGAGGGGGGAATTCAGGGAGCACAATTTGTTGCATAATATACCATTTTCCTAGGTTGCATCAGCTAAAAGATGTAATTTTAACCTTCATTACACCCTTCTGATGCAGTTTCAGAGATATAAATTACAAGGGATGAATAAACAGGGTCTCCCTAATCCTGTATGATTTTACCTCTTCTCTGAATTGTGGAATTCAAAACCATCCATTATTGTGCTTTAAAAGGTTAAGACAGCAAGGATAAGGATAAGGAGAGAGAGAGAGAGAGAGAGAGAAAGGCAGAGGACTGTAAAAAAAAACATAAAGAACTCTTACACCAACTACATGAAGTACTTTCACAAGCTACAGACAGAAGATAGTATTGCTCACTTTTGAACATGTGTCCAGAGTGAAGACGGCCACCCTGCACACCCATCATATCTGAGATCTGCTGCAATAAGCCTACTGGACCACCACCATCTTTCATCTGTAACTCGATGATCCGCTCCAACTCCTCACGGAACAGTCGACTGTTCATTATCATCTCCACTCGCTTCCGACGTTCCATTTCTCGCATATCCTGCAAAACATTTGACTCACGTGATGTAAAACGATCCAAAATTTTCAAATATTCATAATGATTGCAGATGGAAGGTTCTGTGTTGCGTGATAACCTTGAAGAGTGTTGTCTTCTGGGTTGCAACACCATGTCGTTTGGCAGAAGCCCACTGACATTTCAGTTTAATCTGTGGTGTCGAAGAGTATGCAGCGTAAAAAAAAAACTACCAAAATGTAGGCAGCCTGCTACCGCTTGCGCTTTGACACTGAAGATGGAGACAATCCATCCATCCAAAATGTATGGATACATACCGCACTGCATCCCAGAAGGTAAATATTCTTCAAGGTTATCATGAATTACAAAGTCTAACGTGATAACCCCTCTCAGCTTTATCAGTATCACAGCTAGGATAACTTGTTTCATATTTGATAACTCATGTGGGAATTTAAATTTATTTTCCCCTTCTCGCGTGAAAAGAGCAATGTGCGCTCATTTCAGCGTGAAAATACAAAGAACATTCTAAGAATGAAGTCAAAAGATATTAAAATTATTAAACTGTAATGAGGAATCTGTGTTTCTCATGCATTTGTAGAGCAATCACTTGGATTCTCTCATTCTGGGCACCTAACAAGGTAGAAATGATCATTATTTCATCGAAGTAAACAATGCCAAACCACAAACGAGATATACCAGTATACCAGTTTCCTCTTTCATCAATTATTCTTCTAAGTGAGCCACTGGATTTACAATGTTGACATATTGTCAGGAATGTTTTGCTACTAAAGCACCACTGACCATACATCAGTATTAAAAAAAACCTAAAAAAATTTTCTCAACCCTGGGAACAAATGTGAATCTGAGAGAAGCCAAACTTACAATTATGGCACACTAGGATAGACAAAGAGACAGAGTATTTCTCTAGATCTGCATTCATAAAATTGAAAGTTAGTGGGGTAGTGTCAATAGAATAGGAGAGTGAAAGAGTATCTCCAGGTTTTGGAGCCCAACACTTCAATATTTCAATAATTCACTTCATCACAACCTGTTTCCCCAGGATAATTATATTACGATTTTTCAAAAGGATACTTTCCGAGGAGTTTCTCCATGCATCTGTTTCCTATCCATGCTACATGTCTAGCCTCAGTGTAACTATACACACAATGCCATATAAACTGTGTACATCACAATGTTCCGTCATGCAATACCCTCCAACCCTTCCCCCTTCTTCGTGGCTTTTTGGAACATTTTAAACTTTCATCCACTGAATTAATTTTTTAATTGTTATGATGACCACTCAGGTATGGGGCAATTATAAATCCTTACATTCTCAGGACAAGAATATGAGACACTCCCATACTTCCACGTACAGCATACATGGTAACCCTAATCTAGTCAAACCATTACGTGACTTCTTAGTGTTAAATTCTGACATGTATCTCAAATTATTCACTCATGGAGCTGAGCCCTTCTTGAGAAGCTGCCATCTGTGCAGCTACTCAAGAACTTCCCAGCAGTTTATGGAACCCGAAGGTTCATTACCGTGTTCACAAGAGCCCTCCAGCGGTCCCTATCCTGATTTAGGTCAATCCAATCCATACCATCCAATCCTATTTCTCTAAGATCCATTTCAATATTGTCCACCCAACTACATCTTGGTCTTCCCAGTGGTCTCCTTCCTTCCGGCTTTCCCACCAATATCCTATTCACATTCCTCGTCTCCCCCATTCGTATGCATCTCAAATACCTTGTATATATCTCAGGTATATATTTACTTCATCCCACCTCCCCAAAACCCAATATGATGCTGCAGTCAACATTACATCCACACACCATGTTCTCCAGCACACATTAAGAACAACTCCATAATGCACTATACAGAATCAGATTAAACTCACGGCATCAATGTCAGCAGGTCGTAGCTTGTTCTTGTCTTCCTCATCAAATTCAATGCCATTTGTCTGTGGCTCAGCTGGTGGTGGCTGCCCTGCTTGACTTGTGTCTGCCATGCTGACCACCACACTTGCCTACTTTCCTCTGAATCGTTCAGTCTGTAAGAAAACAAACAGTTCAATTACTGAATGTGTTCGAGTAAAAGAAAATTTTGCGTTCTATTTCCTAAAATATGTGGTGAACGATATGACAAACTGAGATTTTATTTTGCTTGGACAGTATGGGGCACGCGGTAGCGTAATTGGTCGTGGCACTATGTTACAAGCCAGAGGGTCGAAGGTTCGATTCCATGTCACTAATATTTCCAGCCGCACTACAGTCCTGGGGTCGACTCAGTCTCTAACAGAAATGAGTACCAGGAATCTTCCTGGGAGTAAAGGGCGGCCGGAGCGTAAGGCTGACAACCATACCACCATCTATGAGCCGACTGTCTAGAAAACGTGGGAGCCTGAACATTTCACATCCCTGTGGGCCTCCACGGCCTGTTACAGGCTCACCTTTAGTATGGCAGTACTAATATTGTTGTAAGAAACCATACAGTGAAGACAGAAATGGAAAGACATAACAGGCGGCACGCGGCATTGTAACTGGTTGTGGCACTGTGCTGCAGGCTGGTAGGTCGCCGGTCTGTCCTGAAAATCTCAGGTTTCTATCAAATGCAGAGATTTCTAGCTACTTCTAATGCCCGAGGTTTTGAATATGCGGAGCTATATATTCACAACCCCATATATCTTCATGATGTTGTGCTTCATTAAATGCTGGCATTTACCTTATTATTTCTACATCCAAGTGGATGAACTATGAAGGCAGCGCTGAATTAGAGCTTTTCGTGGGCCTGATTAGATAAACAGGAGGACCCATTAAAAAAACAGCACTGCAGACGAATGATAAACCTTCTTGCCTGAATAATTACATCAACTAACAATTTCGTGACAGCCGATATTTTAAGAGCAAACACTGCTTTAACGAAATTCAGTGTTTTGACAAAAAAAAAACTGGAATCAGATCACTAAGGAATGTTAATTTCCAGCCGGATATGTGTAGGTACTAGACTACTGAAATGTTCATGAAACCCAACTCTTGGATTACCTAACGGCCATCAATCTGCCTGGCAACAACCACAGAGCTGCACCATAACTGAAAACGAGAGATACACGCGTGGGGTTTCCATCACCCCAAACTGACAAGACGCATTCTCTCTTTTGTCTTTCGAGTTTCATATAAGAATGTTTTATTTGTGGGTGTTTTTCTTCCTCAATGTCTGTAGGCTCATCGGCTTGCGATGCCTAAACTTAGCTAAAGTTAACTACATGTGCAAAAAGGACGCCAAAGGAAATGAAAATACGCTTACTATAATCATTATTTAAATTTAAATTCATCAGTTTCAATAATGAAAAGTTCTGGTGCGTTCAGGTCATCACGGCGGCGGCAACACGCAGTGTTAAGTTCCGAGTGTGAACACAATGTTTGCTCCTCTTTCGAGTCAGTCAACTTGTTTTAATAGACGCTGCAAACAAAGAACAAGCCACGGTGAACTGTCCCTGCCATCGGCACTCCAACGGCGAAACAAATTACAACCATCAAAACGCCGCATCTGTAAACAGGATGCTCTCAAAGAGCCCGTGATCTGGCCACCATCAAACAACGAAAGAAACAGGTTGTGCAACACATGAAGGGCCCTTAGAATCAGCAGTATTCTTCTGAATCAGTGGCTTTTAATGACGTATCATACCAACTGTAGCACAAGTTCAAGTGTAAAGCGCTGTTTTTAATAAAACCGATCACTTGCTGCGAGGTACAGAAGCAGGCAGTCTTTAAAGCTTCCCTGAATTTTCCGTCAAAGAAAACTGCGACCTTGTAAAGACGAACATTTAATGCCCGATACGTAAATTTTCTAAGGGGGACTGTTTCGATACAAACGTGATGAATGCTAATTTAAAACGTTTATGTAATAAAGCATAATTAGAATGCTCAAGTCGAGGAGGATGAGGTGGGCAGGGGATGTAGTATGAATGGGGGGACGAGGAATGCATATAGGATATTGGTGGGAAAGCCAGAAGGAAAGAGACCACTGGGAAGACCAAGGCGTAGGAGGGTGGACAATATTAAAATGAATCTTAGAGACAGGATGGGATGGTATGGATTGGATTGATCTGGCTCAGGATATGGACAAGTGGGTGGCTCTTGTGAACACAGTTATGAACCTTCGGGTTCCATAAAATGCTGGGAAATTCTTCAGTAGCTGCAGAATTGGCGGCTAGTCCAGAAGTGCTCAGCTCCATGAGTAAGTAAGTAAGTCCACTTTCAATTTAAAGCACATCTGTAGCTTTACACTCGTTTGATATCTCGTATCAAATGTAAATAATTCAATGACTCAGGCCTATTTGCTCTTATTCTGACTCAAAAGCAGATACGACCCGACATCAGAGAAATCCACAGACAACTGTGCGCACTCTGCTCTCGTTAACTCAGTTTATTTACACTGTTAGGCAATTCCATGGAGCACAGTCTTTAATGCAAATCTGATACTCCTCCGCTGGTGAAAATCTGTCTTTTATTGGTGCTGAAGATTCCTTAAAGTAGTCACAACAGCCTGCCTGAGCCACACAATCCAGTCCACACCCTCCCACTCTTATGTTTTTAATATTATCCTCCCACCTACGACCGCATTTTTCAGATATTGCATTCTTGCTACATTTCCCGCCCATCTGATCCTCTTCGATTTTTATCGCCCTAACAGTACTCATTCCTTGCAATGATGAAAGATTGGCATTTCTTTTGAATGTACGGCTGGGGGGGGGGTTACGTGGCACGTAACGTATGTTAATCGCCCTAAATTTCTCATCTGGAGAACTGAGAACCTATACACAGACATGTGAACATTAGGCTGTGGTCTTCTGGTCACGACAGTGTGTAGCCTGCTTGCGGTTACCAACATTTCGAAGGAGCCTCCGGCCTCCATGTTCTCCCCTCTCAAAACCTTAATGGCTAGCGCAAGGGAGAGACATACACCACCTGTGGTCTATGGTCCCGGAAGAAAGGAAAGAAGAAAGGTTTCTGTCCCCTTGGGGGGGATCACAGCCCAAGCTCCAAACACACATATAATCTAACAGGCGCCCATATTTAAAGTTAATGTACGGATTTAGTTTCGGGTGCATCGATACAACATTAACAGCTACATTACGTGAAAATGAAAACCGAACCTGGAAAATGTGGTCAGCTTTCAAACAATAAATCAACTTTAAAAGGCAAGGGGGTATTCAGAATAGCAAATACCGTGATTATAAATCCACTTAGGCCGCGCCATAGCTCAAGCGGTTAGTCGCTGGCTTCCCACCACGGCGGCCCGGGTTCGATCCCGGGTCTGGTCAAGTGGGATTTGTGGTGGACAAAGTGGCGCTGGGGCAGGTTTTCTCCGAGTACTTCGGTTTCCCCTTCCAATCTTCATTCCACCAATTGCTCCACAATCACCCTCACCTATCATCTGGGGCTGGTACAATAGGCCAGAAGTGGCCGCAGTACAAGGGACTTAGTCCCACCCCACTAGTAATAAAAATAATCCACTTCGCTGGAGTACAGTCTTTCCATTTACTTCTTCACTGCAAAAGAGGTGGTTCCTCATTTCTGACGATACTATAAATTCCATCGCACATGCGACTAGAAGCAGTTATCAATAGGGACAGGATTTTAATGCAAATGCATATTTCTTTCTTGCAACCCGAAAGTATGCTCGTTTGGATATATGTATGAATTACTTAATTTCTTAAATTTTGGACATGGTTTGATAGTGCATATAAATGCATATGTTGCCTGTTTTATGAACAAGCATCATATTTTCGAAGATCTCTATTTATACTGCATATTTCCTTTTTAAAATGTTTATCATACATATTTTTTAATTTTATGTTCAAATTTTCCATCATGGTCGTGTGTATACAATTTTTCTTTTCCGTATTAGAATATGTTTCATATTTCACTCAACATTTCATCATGATTCATATTTCTGATGCAATACCCAGGACGGGACTTCCCCGATCCCTCTACTAGTAACTTGCCTCATCCGCGTACCATCAAAGTGGCCGCGAAGAGATTAGTCGGAAGCGTTCACATGTAGCCGCTATCAACGTAATGCCTTTCAACCGATAAGGGACTTCACTTATTTATTTCCGAAGTCTCCATGAGGTTCGTAACGCTTCTTCATTTGAAGCTGGGGGCCATTCACATTAGTGGTGACTAGTCTGTAGTTAAGTTTGTTTAGCTTTCTGTAGTCATGCCGAAAGTGAAAGTAAGTCAGAAAACTAAATTATAGCTGTATCAGCAGCNAAGGAGAGATGATAAGTACGGATAATGAAATTCTTTATTGCCGAACGTGTGAGAAAACAGTTGGTTGTGAAAAACGCTTTCAAGTGCTTCAGCATTTGAACACTAATACACAAAGAGAATATTAAAATTAAATCCACGAAAAGTGCCCCTGTTAAAAAAATTGCTTAGTGAATTTTCTAATAATAGTTTTTCGCGGTTTTCCTTTGATTTATGCGGAGCCTTTTTAGCGGCAGATATTCCGCTGTGGCAACTAACCAGTCCTACTCTGAGAAACGTCATAGAGAAGTATATATAGTGCAAATTGCCGGATGAATCTACTGTGCCCAAAAATTACGTGAAGCAGTGTTACGATCTTACAACTGAAAGCATTATACATAAGATTCAAGATAATTTTGTGTGGGTATCAATCGAC